CTTGGCCTGCTGTGTTCATCCAGCTCTGCACCTTGTTATCTCAGATTCTCCAGCATCTGCAGTTCCTACTATCTCTGAAACAATCATATTTTAGCATGATGTGATAAACTGTATAGAATTAAGTGATATTAGGCAAAGTATATTATCTAGAGCCTTAGACTGAAAATTCTGAAAATAGTTGCCACTTTTGACAGCCGCATTTCTAACAGGCCAGTGAGGGCAAAACTGTCGTTCTGGCCTATACAAGGTGAGGCTGCTCAGTGACCAGAGAAAATTTGGACCTTCCCTTCTTGAAACTGTGTTTACAGTCCGAAAAACGTGAGACAATTGTGCATGGGAGGCCACGAATGTTAATTCTCTTTATGAATCTTATCACTCCATTAGTAGCAGACTCACTTCATTCACCTCAGAACACTGGTGGCCAATTCAGGCTTGTTGATCACAGGAAGGTCAGTGAGGTCCTCCAATCATACCGGTAGTATCATCTCTCTCTGTTGATGTTTAACAATTTGCCCAATCAACTTACATTCCCACTTATTCCACAAACTTTCATTAATTGGTGCTCATGTGCTTTATGTATTTCAAACACAGGAACAGGATTAAGGCATTTAGCCAACTAGTTCATGAATGGTATGTGCTTCATTTCCATTTACTTGTCCAAATTTATCAATATGATTTATCATTTGAAACACCCCAATTTCACTCCTCAACTTTTTGAACCCAGGCCAATAGGAAGCAAGTTTTCGAAACAAAGCCTTTTAATTTAACCCTTGAAACCTCAGTACAATTCTAGTGAACCTAGGTTATCAATCAATAGTCGGTAACTGTTATCCGATCATTCAAAAGGGATGTGGAATATCCATTTTGGTAAATAGAGAGGAAATGATTTGTTGTGGAAGGGTGATTCTGAAGCTTAAATTGCCAAATCTGCTCCAGAGTGTGTTTCCTGATGCCATAGCCAAAGTTACTCTGAATAAATTCAATGAATTCTTTGCATAAGCTGGAAAAGGTAAGACATTTGACAGCTTATGGTTAAATCTATCCTTGTAGAATTAATTTGTTCAATAAAATGTGTTACATTGGTTTGAATAAAATCACAGATGGTACATTTTTTTTCATATTTCAAGGTAGCAACTACACATACCAACACTGACAGTTCACATTTTATACATAGTGTATAAGTTTAACCCTGTTTCTGGAAGGATTTTTTTGAGGCTTCAAAGGTCAACATACACTGAGGCCCCTAATATTGTATAAGGAGTGTATCTTTAAACTCAAATAAGAGAGAAGAAATGTGTAAATTGTTAAAATTAATCTTTTATTTTTAAAATGTACTGAAAAAAATTACAAAATACTACTTGTATACTATTACTTATAATCCTATTGTGGACCTAACTAAAATCTGAATCAACACAACATCAATTATAATATGCTTATTACTTAAAACAGCAAAATATTGCAATGCTACCATTTGGTTCCTGGAAATGATAAACTTTCCTAAGTGTGTGACAAAGAAAAAACATTGATCTATACTGACACTCTTACAAATCTAACAGAATCCATACTGTGTAAGACAGATGATACCTGTATGAACAAAACTTCATTTCTGTGAAAAAAATATTGCTTAAATAAAGGAACTAGTAGGAATGTTTCAAAGCAGGACATATTCCTGGTGTTGGCTTCGTACAGTGCATTTTGATCATTAATTTTAATCATTGTGTAAACCAATATGTTCTGTGGTAATGTTTCTTTTATGTTCAAAACTATATATTGGAAACGGTTAAAGAGAGGTTATTGTAGAAATATTTTGAGTCTATATCATATTTTTAAAATATAGCTGCAAACCATTTAAATATATGTATACACCAACATTGTTTGCAGTGACTTGTGCAGTATTTGTACACATGTTGCAGAATTAATTATGTAGAATTTGTATCGTCAAACCACACCATATGGCCCAATTGGTCAATGCCTGTATAGTATGTATCAATCTGTTCCCATTCTTCTTCATTTAACTCTATCCTTCCTATCCTTCCATTCCTTTTTGCCCAACCCCCATACATTCATTCAATCAGTTATCTTTTAAACAAATTCATGTATTCACTTCAGCTACTTCCTGTTGTAGTGCATTTCAGATGTTAACCAATGTCTGTTTAGAGACATTTCTCCTGAACTCCTTTTTGGTATTAAGGGTGACCATCTAATATTTATGGCCCTTAATGTTAGATTCTTCCAACTATGAGTACATAGATATGGATTTATGAAAGAATTGCAGCTGCTAAGTTGTATTGATATCATGATGAGGATAATGCCACAAAGGTGTAAAAAGCAAGTTGTATTATGTTTTAATTTCTCCTTGACCATGGTAATACAAGAATTCTACACAGTGTTGTTATGTGGCGGGGTGGTGGGGGGGGTGTGCGGTTGGGGAGGAGGTGATGAGATAAGAGGAAAGTCTGTCATTTGAACATTGATGGTGTAATCCTCAAGAACTATATGTATCTGGTCTGCATTGTGGTGAGATTAGAATGAAAATTAACATTCAAAGTATACATCAGAACTTTGAAAACTAAATTGAAATCCAAGAATTGTGTGCTCCTGAGACTGGCCAGCAGTCAGGCAGCTAACCAGAAAACACTTATAATGACCAGTCTCACCCTGTGGTTACTTATTGTCAATGAACTGTGCTTCAATGGGCTTAAGTCATGCAACCAAACTGAATATTGAACTTGAGTATTGCTGAAACAGACAGTGTGGATATCATACTAGATATATAAGCCATACATCCCAAAGGCCAGCTAATTCTAGCACATAATCTATCTTACAACAGGCAATGTATTGACATTATCCAGTAGAGTTCTGCTTGCAAAACTCAAAAACACAGTGTCCAATATCAGATGTGATTCCACCATTGGGCAGTATTTGCTAAATAATCATGAGTGTGTTAAGAATTATGCTGGCAATCAATTTAAGATTGTCAGTGAGGCTCTCAGAGTGACACATTTGTGCATACTGGAAGCTACAGGATGCTGAGTGACAAAAGAAAAAATAGTGATCTGAACAAAAATATTTTTCTCACAGCAAGTGGTTTGGATGTGGAATTGGAGTGGAGCTGGATTCAATCAAGGTTTTCAAAGGGAATTGAATCACGATCTGAGGTGCAAAATATTGCAGTGCTGTGGGTAAGAGATAGGGGATTGGCAGTAGATGACTTACTCTTACAGAGAGTCAGCAATAACATGGTGGACTGATTGTCTTCCTTCTTTGCAATAACTATTCTATGGTTACATGGCTGCATGAGAACTGAGGAAGGGTCACCGGACCCAAAACGTTAACTCTGTTTTCTCCATCACAGATGCTGCCAGACCTGCTGAACTTTTCCGGCAACTTTGTTTTTGTTCAGGAAATATGGATGGTCTTGCATAGCATAGAAAGAGGCCTTTCACCTTAACTAATCCATGCCTGTGTTTACTTTTCACACGAGATTCCACTGACTCATCTTCCTCTAATGCTATCATTATAACCTTCAACTCCTTTTCTCTCACGATGTATCTATCTAACTTCCCTTCATATGCATCCAACAACTCAATGCGGTAGTGAGTTTCACATTCTGAACAAATTCTATGAAATAAATTTCTACTGAATTGCCTATTAGATTTATTATTAATTGCAAGTTGATGGTTCCTGCATTTGCTATGCTGGAGAACTTGGTTCCTTGAACAGAAGGAGGCCAGCTCTGAAACTGAATCTTCATGCCACAATCAATGATCATACTCACAGGAAGAAGCTTCTTTAAAGATTGATAAAGACAGTTCTTAGAAGAAAGCCAATCCTCTTTTTAGAAGAGTATCTTGCACATTTCCTCAGCTTGGCAGAAGTTGCCACATTTCCTGGCGGCTTGAAGTAAGTGAGAGATAGTCCAAAGTGATTTCCACCTGTTGTGAAATCCCTAAAGTATCATTCCTCCAATCCTGCAAACTCCAGTACAGTCAGAGGGTCACCAAAAATACCAAGTTGCCTCTTGTCTCTGGAAAACATATAAAACACAAGACAGCAGCATCATAGTACGCCAATAAAAACAAAATGCTGGGGAAAATCTGTGGAGAGAGAAATAGAGTTAACATTTTGAATATGGTATGACTCTTCTTCAGAACACCCTGTTTTTCTCTCTCCATGGATGCTGCCAGACCTGCTGAGAATCTCCAGCACTTGCTGTTTTTATTTAGATTACCAACATCTGCAGTATTTTGATTTTATCATGATGTAACAAACTGGGACAGCAATCTGTTCTGTATAGAGACTCAGGTTACATTCTCACTGCGTGGGGGATAGTTAGTCCAATGCAACTCCTGAGACCAGGGTTATTGTGACATTACTGTTGATGGGTAAAGTCTCTTTGCCCTTGTGAGGTGGTATGTTTCAATGTCCTTATAACATATTACTGCTTGGCCCTAAAATGTATCCTATAAACAAAATGGAAATGGTCGTTTTAACACCCACTACCTTGTTAGCACTGTCTGCACTCATGCTTTGCCTCAATTCAAGTAGCACCCATGAGAACATATGATGAAAATACTATCCAATTGTATCTGTAATATTCAACTGCACAAATAACTGGGCCTTGTAATTAAATTTTTAGCATTATCAATGTTTAACATAGTCAATATTGTGCTTATCATGGCCATAGCAATAATTACAAACAGTCTTGTTGCAATGTGTGATTAACATTTAGTGGATTAAAGAGTTGCCACCCAAGCTTCTGTATTGAATATATGTGTGTCAGTTCATAATCTCTGCACATCATTCTTTTTCTGCTATAATACACCAATTACCATGATCATAACAAGAACTGAGGATATGAAGTTCATGTACATTCTCGTTAATTAGCTGAGCCAATTCTCCTTCCCTGAAGACATGATAATATCTCATGAATTCTGTAGCGTCTGCAAATTCCTCCTGCTTATCATCCAAAGCTACAGATCTAGTACTGTCAATCACAGAATCTGGTGATTCTATTGTGGAAGTCCTTTTAAAAGGACTTGTACTTCCCTTGGATCTTGTTGCTTCATCATTTTTCTCAAAAATCTGTCTGTTAGCCTGGTAAGGATTTAGTTCGTGTCTGTAGGATTCACTTTGGCTCCCATTTTTCTCTTTCAAATTACTCTCCAACCACTGCGATTCTTTATGGTTTGGATTTTCAGTGAATACTTCATCTTCAAAACTGTCTCTCTTCATTAATGGTGGACAATCCCCATCCAAACTGCAGTGCCTAGAAGATAACGTCAAATTCCCCACCGGCTGTAAGTTGTTTCTCCATTTGTGGATGAGCTCTGGTGATTTCCTCATTGATTTAAGGTGATCGATGTGTGTCTGCATTGCAGCCTCATCAAGTGATTTGGAGAAGAACCATGAACGAAGTGATTTTCCTAGATTCTTGTAAAATCGATGCTCTTGATCTTCACACATCCTGGAGCAGCAGTTTTCTAACAAGGTGTAATTGTCAGTTCTGTACGAAAGTGTGGTGTGTTGATCCTGCCTGAGAGGCAACATTGCACTGGCCTCAGTTGGAGCTGTTTTCAATTGATCTTTATCTTGTGCTTTGACTGTGTTCACAGCCATGGGCTTGTTGTGGCCTTGACCGGACTCCGATGACGGTCGAGAACACCAGGATCGGTTCCAAGGAACAAAGATGTCCTGTTTTTCAAAGTGGCGGTGTTTTTGTTCCATTGCCCACACATAAATCATCATTTGTCCTCCACGGTGCAAAGTCCTTGTCATTTCTTTTATTGCTCGGATACGTCTGCCTTTTGTTGAGAAATGGTGAATCACTACAATAAGAAATGAAAGGGTTCATTTATAATAATTTTTCACTATTAGAGAGCATTACCAGGACAATAGGGAAGCGGGACTAATTATGTAGCTTTCAAAATACAAATATATTAAGCCAAATGGCCTGCTTTTACATCATATGATTCTATAATCACTGAGTTGACTAAAAAAAAGAATAAAAACCAAAACAGATATGAACACTTCCATCGTGAATATATGACTGTAAGCTACTAATATATAAAATAACATTCAACAACTTCATCAGCACTTTGGAGTATAAGTAGCATTACTAACCATGCTGACAGTATTAAACTTCACACCTTTTATACAATGGATCCAACTTTTTTTATTAACCCAAGCATGTTACAGAATTACAAAGCTGGTCGTTTGACACATTTTGCCCAATTCATTCCATTCTGCTGCTCTTTCTCTCAGCTCTGCAAATTGATTTTTCTATTTTTTAAAATTTCATTAGAAAGTTACTATTGAATAAACTTTCACTTGCATTCCAGTGCATTCATTTTGAAATATAAAAGTTACCTATCTATAATCTAAATTTGGTGAAAATATTGTGATCGAAAGTGAGAAATAACGTGCTTTCACCAACATCATCTCAATAAGGGATCGAGACTTACTAATGTGGTCAAAAATCATACATCGGCATTTCAAAAATAAGGAGATCAAACCAGTTAATGGAACACTCAGTGGGTATTAGCAATAGCTCAAATCTAATAATGCACAAAGCAGAGGAACCTCGCACCACCTCCAACATGTCTGAAGCTGAGTTTAAGTTGTGTTTGGACAATATAAGGATAAAGGAATTATTTGGCATCTGGAGATTTGAACACAGTTGGGTCATAGTGGAAGGAGGGAGCTGCTGATTCAGCTACCTCCTTCAAAACCCCATAATCAACAACACAACACAAAAACAGATTTAATGATTTGACTAGGATAGAGCTTTCTAGTTACTACTGCACCAAAACCTGAAGATCAATTGGAATTGAGGGGAATTCCTAAAATCATGGCTGATTTTGCATTCCTTGATCTGACCCAGGGAACCCAGGTTTTCTGTTTCAGTGGGCAGAGCCTCCAAAGTGCTCACTGCCAGCTACCTGTTCAAACATTGGATAAATAATCCTGTCAGGCAGGAAGCCCCTCTGGGTTATTCCAATGCTTATATTGTGTCTTGCTTTTTCATTATGCACCCAGACCAGGCACTCACTCAATTAAATATACTTGCAGAGATCCTGAGTGTGGTTGTTCACACAGAGGGACAGAGAAGTAGAACAAGAGGTCTTCGTCCTAGTTTCTTCTTCACCACACAAAGGAGCTGAGTTTTACCCAGTCAAAGAGTGAGAGATTGACTCTAGGGTCCCCACCTGAAATGTTAACTTGCTTTCATTTGAACAGCTGTGTACTTCCAGCTTTCACTGTTTTATTGTAGTTATTACGTAAAAGAAGAGGGTGAATTATTGATCGGTGCAAAACCTTTACTACCTCCTGACTAAATAATGATGACAGTACATCTATTAAAGATTAACTTTCCCACTGCAAAATGGCCTGCTGGCCGTAATAGGGAGTAGTAATAGTAATAGTAATACTAATAGTAATAGAGAACTGTTCCCAAAATACAAACCCAAGCACTCCTTTTTCTAAGAAGCAAATACTTTGGAATTCAGATTGAATTTGATTAGGTTTTATTTGAAATTAACCTAATAAGTCATAATTTGGATCAGTTTTAAGATCTGGCTCTAATCCATATTGTATCACTAAACATTGTGAACTTTCTGTTTCACTACAATAAGATTTCATTTTAAAATGAAAAATAAAACTCATATGTTTCAGCTATTAAAAAAAATTCTCAACTAAGGATAATTTAACCAAGTTATGATAAAAAGTTAGTCTTATATTTAACTTATAATGAACTCAGTACATCTAAAATTATGTAATTGTATGTAAAATAAATTTAAAATACCTTTATTTCAGAACATATTTTTGATTATCATAGATCTCCTTTGGGAATCTAGTCTATATTTGTCAGTATTAAAGAATTCCACAACTGCACAAACTGGAGATGATTCCAATGATGACTCTTCTGCATTGCCTGGGGTGCATTCAATGCATTTACAGAATAGGCAGGAAAATTGTTGAGTGGGGTAATGGGAACCTGGGGAGGCAAACCAATTTTAATGGTTCACTGCTTTTTTTTAACCTTCACCCAAAATTTCTGTTGTTTGCTTATATAGGCAAAGGAGTTCCTATACCTGCAAAAGGCACAATCCCAGAACAGTAATGTTGGTGGTGCCAAATGAAGCTGGGACAGGGCCTTGTGCCAGAGACTCCTCAGACCAGAAGCCAGGTGAAGAAGCAGTAACAGTCAGTTATGATTTCCTTTTTGGGCACATGGTCAAAGGCCTGGTCAACCTGCAGGTGCATTCTTGATTCTGCCTCCACTGCATAGTGCAGGGATGGGACTCAAGCCATGAAAAGTCCAAGACACCAATACAAAGATAGAGGAGCAGGTAGCACACTCCCAATGCAATCTATCTAATATGAGCAGGGCTGGGTGAGTGGGCACAAGGAATGGAAAATCAGGCCCTCCTTCTATGCATAAGCAACATCAAAATCAACACCCTTCATGAAGAATTTACAATTTTTCTACATTTATTGCATAAAAAAGTCATCTCACTGTGGCTGGGTACAAAAGTTATCAAAACATATTAGCTCACTATTGTCTTATAGTCTAGCATATGATCATGTGATCTCTTCTCTTACCTCCAATAGAGATGATTGCATTAAAACACTGATCCCTGTACGGGAGAATTAGGTTATCACAAACCATGACTTCGTGTCCATGTCTTTTGGCAATCTCCACCAATGGACTGCAATAATCACTGCCCAACTTATAAACCTGGCTGTTAACAGTAAGATACTTTCCAATCCCACAACCTGCAGTAGAGAAAGACCACCATTAATGCCAGCTTATTGCTTCTTACAATGACAATTAAAGGAATTACGTCTAAATATGATACAAAGATATATGCCACAATCCAGTGCATCCAGCAGGGAATGCAATACAAGGAACTGCAAATTGCAAATTTTTTTAAAAAATGATTTTCAATCTGTGCATCACCCACAGATGAACTGCTCTTATTTGATAATGAAAGGTTATCTCATTAGAATATTGAAATGTTATTGCTGCTGGATTGCTTATAAGCTGTTGAGACAGTGGAGAGTTTGGCAAGCAAGTCTTTATGGGTTACCAGTGCTTTACCAGGAATTGACCAATGTCAGTGACCCAGAGGGAGCAGAGCAATCCAGTGGAGAGTGACAGGCATACAAACTACACAAATAGTGGTCAGTGTAATGGGAAATTTTATAATCAGCGGTTTGGACAGTTGTTCAGTAATGACCAAGAATTCCAAATAATATGTTGCCTCCCTAGTGTCAGAGGAAAGAACACAGAAACACAGAGAGTACTGAGAACCTGAGAAATAGCAACCAATTACCGTGATCTATGCTGGAGCCAATTTTTTTTAAAAAGTAAACTTCAGCTTTTGGGGAGGAAGTTGAATATGTTGGTGACCAGATTTGAAAATGGGTGGCAAATACCTGATTGTTTCCAAATGTCTCACACTTGATGAGAACAGGAAGTTTAAGAAAGACAATGTATGGTTTTAGGACTGATGCAGAAAAGAAGGGTTCACGCAACTCATATAACATGTAATGTATTTAAGCAGGGTTGCCAACGACCAAGTTTGCAAACTAGCACATTCCACAGTCTAGGACAATTTGTTAAGGAATGCACTAAAACTTGTGCAACTGCAGCTAAGTTCATTAGAAAAAGGCCATTGTCTCCCACCATTGTACACATAGGGGCTGGAAACCATATTAAATATTTGGGCATCATGCACCAGAAAATGTCTGACGTGAAATGTAAGTGCACATTGCAAATATAACCTGAAATGGCAAGTCTGTGAGATACTTTGTGCACTTTCCTGAAAGAAATGTATTTGCCCTGCATGATGCAGTGTACAGTTTGAACTGTACATGCACCTTTACAAATGTTCTGAATTAAATATACTTTTGGAAAACAAATTTCAGGGAATGTGTCTGTTGACATTCCTGTAAAAGCTAATGAATTTGAGACAGAGTATAAGGATAATCATAGAGTAGAGTCCATTTAATTAGCAAAACAGGTCTGTTTGAATAAGTCACTGCAGCAAATAGTCTGCACAGCCTGTCTAAAGAAACAATCTCCATGAGCAATAGCACACAGAGCTCATTATTGAAACTGCACCAAAGCCTTCTGGTAAAAGCACAATAAGTCCACCTGTGAGTAGAGGATAGTTATGTACAAGTGATTTCCATAAAATCAATCACAGTTAGTTAAATCATTGTGGTTTCTGTGTATGAAAGAGTTGCCAACGAAGATGAAGTCATGATATTCAGCCTATTTCAGCTGGCTCATTAAATTTGAAAGCAAATGCTGGATTATAGTGTATTACCCCAGAAATATTAATAAAAACATAGTGTGACCAATAAAAGTAAAACCAGTTTCCAAAAGTGAAAATATTAAAATAAAAAGACCTTTTGCTAAGTTCCTGCAATGCCTGTGATATATTTTTTTCTAAGTGAATTTCATTTTCTGAGCTCATTCTTGAGCACATTTACAGTTGCTGATTGAAGTGGAGTGGAAGTATTTTCATAATTTCAAACTAAACAGATCCCCTCAGTTAATCAAATCTACTGCATTAGGTGATCTTTGTGGTGTTTTTAGAGGCTAATCACGTCTGATTTCCACCTATTTTTCAGGATCTGACTGAAGAGGTTCCCACTGACATTGAGCAATTACAATTTGCAGTTGTGTAATTGTTCAGTTGAAAATGGCAATATACATTACGCAGCATCAATGTTTAATTTCATTCTTCACTAATCTTAGCCAAGGTAACAGTAGAGATGCTAAAATTATCCACCATGTCACTGAATTAGTAAGACAGAAATCAGGCATATTCTTAATCACTGTCCATACTTGACAGTGTGTGAAAGCCAGATACGAACAGCATTCAGCTCATTGGTACAGGTTGTTTCAACTCCCTTAAGATATCATTGTCTGTAGTACAATTGTAAATCCAAATATTCAGGAGATGAATGGGTCAGTGCCCATATCCTGGTGAACTCTATTCTCATTTAGATTGGGCGAAATGTTGGATATAGAATGTTGAAAGGGGAAATTGACAAGAAACTAAAAAATCCTTGCTGAATATTGTAAAAGACCATATATTGCATTCTCCGTCACATAAGTACAGAGAATGAACACGAAATCACCAAATACTGAGAGACAATCCGACATGTCTCTGAACCAGCTTGACACATGGGTGGTAGTGCAAAGAAATTGTGCATGTTCAATCATAAAGCCATAGCTTTTGCAGTTTTGGGAGATTTGATATAAGAGTATACACCATTCCCAAGTGTAGGGACTTCTGAAATTAAAGCATTCAACAATAGAACAGTCAAAAGATTTACATTTACACATATAGCGTGCTCTGATGAAGTACTTTGAATATGTGGTCACTTCACTTGTAACTTGGGCAAAGGTTTTGAAAGCAAGCCTAAAAAAATGTTCTTTAGCCGAACAATTGTTCCAGACTCCTCCTATTTATAGAGTCATAGAGATGTACAGCATGGAAACAGATCCTTCGGTCCAACTCGGTCATGCCAACCAGATATCCTCGATAAATCAAGTCCCAGTTGTCAGCATTTGGCCCATATCCCTCTAAACCCTTCCTATTCATATACCCATCCAGATGATTTTTAAATGTTGTAATTGTACCAGCCTCCACCACTTCCTCTGGCGGCTCATTCCATATACAAAGAGAACAAAGAACAAGGAAAATTACAGCACAGGAACATGTCCTTCAGCCCTCCAAGCCTGCGCCGATCCAGATCCTCTATCTAAACCTGTTGCCTATTTTCCAAAGATCTGTATCCCTCTGCTCCCTGCCCATTCATGTATCTGTCTAGATACATTTAAATGACGCTATCGTGCCCGCCTCTACCACCTCCGCTGGCAACGCGTTCCAGGCACCCACTGCCCTCTGCGTAAAGAACTTTGCACGCATATCTCCCTTAAACTTTTCCCCTCTCACCTTGAAATCGTGACCCCTAGTAATTGAGACCCCACTCTGGGAAAAGGCTTCTTGCTATCCACCCTGTCTCTACCTCTCATGATTTTGTAGACCTCAATCAGGTCCCCCCTCAACCTCCGTCTTTCTAATGTAAATAATCCTAATCTACTCAACCTCTCTTCATAGCTAGCGCCCTCCATACCAGGCAACATCCTGGTGAACCTCCTCTGCACCCTCTCCAAAGCATCCACATCCTTTTGGTAATGTGGGACCAGAACTGTACGCAGTATTCCAAATGTGGTCGAACTGAAGTCCTATACGACTGTAACATGACCTGCCAACTCTTGTACTCAATACCCCATCCGATGAATGAAAGCATGCCGTATGCCTTCTTGAACACTCAATCAACCTGCGTTGCCACTTTCAGGGTACAATGGACCTGAACACCCAGATCTCTCTGTGCATCAGTTTTCCCCAGGGCTTTTC